CCTCACAGCACCACACACACTGACCTTCATGGACCCTTAAACCATAAAAAATATTATTGTTACATTTTACAATGGTGTTAGAATAAAATAAATGTAATCCTGGTTTGATTCACTATTACACATCACTATTAACATAATCATTTTCCTGTGATTTTGATAAGAATGAGAAGTGAAGCGCTCTCAGAAGTCCGTAAAAGAATAGGGGGCTGTACACGCTGTGCCTTCCTGGTCTAATGGGTGCACCATTCCTGACAGGAAACACACCAGGCTCAGAGGTTAGAGACACAAAAGCAGTGAATTCACCATGATGTGGGTGTTGGTCATTCTGCCCAGGAGCTGTTCTGGGTCCCACTCACGTTGCTGTTGGGTCAGAGACTGAGCCCCGGAGAAAACCTCTGATCTAAGGTCTGCAGGAAGCTCCTGGGTTACTGCTGTGCTGGGAATCAGAACTGCATTCTGGATTTAACAAAGCTTAGTTCCTCTGTTGACAGGCCTGCTGCAGAAAACAACGCATGAGAAGCAACGTACAAGTCAGTTACAAGAGTAATTTTAAAAATCGAACATTTCTGCCGAGGCCATCCATGACAGGGCCCGAGCTCCTGTGAACGGACCGAAAGTCGAGCGTGCCTGCTCCCCGGCGCTCAGCCAGCCTCGTTCTCATCAGAATGCCTGTGCCTGTCGTCAAACCTTGCTTAAGCTCAGCTCACCTCCTCCTTGAAGCCTTCCCAGATCGTCCTAGCTCACATCGGCCTCCCTCTTTCTGAACATCTCAATTCCTCCCGGCATTTAGTGATATAATATCATCATGAGAAGTGGAAGTACCTTCTGTGCAAACTCCCAGTGTTGCTAGGATAGATTTTAACAGCAAGTAGAAACTTGGTCATGATTGTTGAATTGGTTAATTATTATATTAATTTTTTTTCAGTGTTTTTGTTTTATTTTGGGAGGAGGTAAGTAAGTTTATGTTTTTTAAATGGAGGTGCTGGGGATTGAACCTAGGACCTCGTGCATGCTAAGCATGCGCTCTAGCACTGAGCTGTATACCCTCCCCTATAATCCCCCATAATATTAATATTAATAACTACACATAGGATCTGGATTATTTGGAAAGCCCATAAAATTGAAAGCTTTGTAACTCCTTTCTGCCTACCAGGTCAAACACTAGATTATTTATTCTAATATTTATTTCCACCTCCAAAGGAACAAAGATCGATATCCTGGTTCGTGTACAGCAGACACAGGAGGCTGTCCTCGGGCAGCATCGGAACTTCTGTGAAAGAACTGAGAGGACAGGACCTGGAGCCAGAGCCAGGAAACACTCTCGCAAGAGCAGGCAGTCACAGAAAGAGGAGCCTGGAGAACAAAGAGCTGATGATGGGATGAGCTGCTTCCACCCAAGGGAACGACCTCACCTTGCGGGATCTGCACTGCCCGTGGGTGTTGCCTATTTAGAAATCCTGCCTCAACCATCAAGTGGCATAATAGTGGCTTCTTCTATGACAGAAGGTTTTGATGAGGGAAATTCTCTGGCAGATACTTCCACCGCCAGCAAATCCTACAGCAAAGCTGCTGTGAGGAAGACCTGTTGGCCAGCCTCTCCTCCTGCGCCCAAGTTCATCAGGAGCTTCC